GGGTGGACAGGGACAGGCTGCATCTGTCCTCAACGACTCCCTGGGTCAGCCCATATGCTCCCAGGGGAGAGGGAGAGACAGCACGCAGCTAGCCAGACTAACAGGTGGGGAGGGGCGGAGAGACGAGATTAAAACAATCAAGTTGATCAGTGAAAGATTTTTAAATACTGTTAAATTAGCGGTATGAGCGAAAGAAGCAAGGTTTGACGGGAAGATTTCACTTCGTTTAAAGATTCTCAACCCAAGTTCAGTGTTTTAGGCGCTGATATGAGGAGCAGGTCTGTCAGATCAGATCTGGAGCATCATGTCTGCAACATACAACTGTCACTGTTTGTTCATGCAGATGGTTCTCGTTCAATCTGGTGCTTTACTCAGAAATTATGGTAAATGTACTGTACTTATATATCGCTTTTCTTTCCAACCAGGATACTCAAGGGACCTCTGTGTCCTCATTCACCCATTCATACAGCACTCTATAGGTCTCTACAAAGCTAACATGTACAAATCATTTATGGAGACTAATCAGTGCTAATCACATTCATACACTGATGGGACACACATCAGAGGCTTTGGGGGYGAAGTGTCTTGCCAAGAACACAACTGAGAGCTGGAAAGGTGGGGGGGAGGTCCTAATGTTCTTAAATTATCCTCCTTTAAAATGGTTCAAGTTTCAAATAGAAGAAAGTTTGCAAATAAGCGTAAAAAGTTTTTTTTTTCTTTTAAGTCTGAATGGGTATGAGGAGTACACCTTTGAGAAATTTGTCAAATCTGWCAACTTATTCTTCTACTGACTCTTGTCTTATACCTCTGGTACTCCGGGTGCTGACAGTCTGGACAGGGTTTATCACCTCCAGAAGTAGAGAGATGGAATGATCTGCCTGCAGTCCTGATCTCAACCCGCCTTGAACACCTGTGGGCTCAGCTTGGACATGATGTTCAACACAACCACATGGGCAGACTCGTCACGAATGCCGGTTGAGATGCCATCCCACAGCAGTGTGTGACCAAAGCTGGTGCWCACAGAGGAGGTGCCAGATACTACTTTTAAATTGATTTTAAATTTAAATCTGATTTTAAATAGCTACAGAACACAGGGTAAATTAAAACTAGTAAAATCAATTGGGGGGGTGCAACGATACAGGAAATTCACGGTTCGGTTCAATACTTTAGTCTCACGGTTCGATATTTTTTCGATACAAAAAAGAGAAATTTCCATGCCCCCTTTAACTTATAATTTATTTATATTAATTATAAACATTTGTTCAACCTCAAAAGTACAGTTTTTAAATTAAATGTTGCTGAAACAGCAAGTTTCTCAGTGGATCTGCGCTCAAAAATACAGCCTAGATGGAGTAGTCGAACACAGATCCACTGATCCTTCAACAC